ACTATTCAATAACTCACGCATAGGAAAAGTTACTACGTGCTGTCGCAAGTAGTATTTAGTACGCTCACCCATCACGCTACCCCCTCCCCCTAGTCCATTTCTGTACTCACCTTATCCTTATTGCTGACGCCTTGTTTCTGCAAATAGAATTCTTCGCGTGCATTATTCAGGCTATCAATTAACGCCGACGTATTGACTTGCGGCTCGTAGTCCATATCGTTGTTCACATTGCCATAGTTATTGGCCAATGTTGTGGTGATGGGTGTAGAAGAGTAGCCCCCGGACGCTGATGTTACGGCTGCTGTGGACGCAGCGGAGGCGGAGGCGGAGGCGGCGGCGGCGGCGGCAGCAGCTGCAGCAGAAGTCTTATCTGTGGCAAATGTTGCAGCCGATGACGGCACGGAAACTTTATGCGACGCCTGATACAAGGGCGACGTGGCCGACAGCGGCAATTGTGGCGATGCTTGTGGCGGCTTCTGGTATTGCAATTGTGGTTGCTTTTGCGGCTGCTGATATTGTGGCTGTGGACGTTGGTAAGCCTGCAATGGTTGTGTAGTAGTGGTGGCCAACTTCTGCTTATTGCGATGTACGCCAGCAGTTGTGCCGCCTGGTTTCTGGCCTCGCTTTGGTATGCCCGTTTTGGTAATACCTCCAGAGCCGGGTCGTTTAGTGGCACGCGTCTTCGTCAATTTGCCGCTAGTGGTGAGTGTACGCTGGCTGCCAATTGTGGTAATGCCACTGCCGCTGTTGCCACCTCCATTGCTGCTCGTCGACTCCTCCGATTCGGCTCGTATTGAGGCAGCAGGAATATTGTTGTTGGAACGTGCTGCCACAAACTGATCATCAGCATCAGTGGCATCGGTGAATGGTTCCACAGTAGTGGTGGGATAATCAGCGGCGGCTGTGCCACCTGCTGTCAGCAAACTCTCGGTGGTGTCCTCATTTTCGCTGCTATCTGTGCCACTGTCCGTTGGTTCAACACCGCTGCTGCTGCCGACGCCGCCGCCGCCGCCGGCATTGTCGTCGTCGCTGCCAGGCGCTATATTGAAGTTATATTCTGTGGTGGTGGGCATGGGCAAGTCGCGTGCAATCGAAGTTTGTGCCGTCACTGCTGCCTGTGCGACGGCCAACTCATCCATGGAGGTTTGCAAGTGCAGCAGTGTAGTCTCGTCCAAGACCAGCGTTGGATCGGTTTCGGCCTCGGCTTGGGTAGAGGCCTCTGTGGTAATGCCAGTAGTTTTAGCAGCCAGTGTTTCACTGCCTTCGGCGTCAGTAGCTGCCGGTGGTGTGGCGTCGCTCGCGATGGGCTTAGCTGACGCTGCCAGGCGCTCGCTATCATCGATGTCTAGCGACTCTTTGAGACGCGCCACACGTTCAACTATACGCTCCAGCATATCCTTTTGTGATTCGGGTAAATTTTTCGTATCCAAAGTTAGTAATTTGTTGTACTTCTCGATATTCGCTTTGACCGTTTCGATGTCGGCTTGAATTTTGGCTGGCGGTGGGGCGAGTGTGGGATTATCGCCAGCTGGTGGCATGTAATGCGTGCGTGCGCGCCGATTGCTGTAGCCGACTAGCTCGATGACGCCAGGATAATCGGCGTTGACGGACGTGCAGAGCTGCAGTAGGCCGATGAGGCAGGCGGCGGAGGCGAGCGCGGCCAGCGAGGATAAACGCAAGGATCTCATGGCGGTATTGTAAAGAGATTTTAATCGAACTTTTTAAAAGCACTTTTTGGATTTAATTTGAGGTACGTTTTTTTTTTGTTTTTTTTTCGGTGAAAGAAAGTTAAACTTTTCTTAATATCCTCGCACTGTTTTTGTTTAATATTCGTATAAAATCTTTTACAGTTTTTTTTTGTAAATTAAGTTTTTAATTGATTTTTTTCTCACACGTTTGGAACTCTTAGAGCCTTATACTTCCTCCGAGGAGTGTTTCTTTTATTGTTATCCTTACAAAATAATAATATTTAAAACCTACAACTTTCACAAATTTAAGTTAGCATTAAATCCTGTTTTCTACTTCTTGTTTTTTTTTATATTCTATCCTCATTCAGCTCTTCTGCTTAACTTCTTTATCTTCAAGCTTCTTCTTTCCGCTTTGAAATCGTCCTGCTCAGTCACAGTCAATCACCTTTTGCCACAGCTTCTGCTTTACTTTATTTTCCTTCTAACTTTCTTGCCCAGTTGCTTCGACAAAAAAAATAAAAAAATCAGCAACGAGCCGTATTAGTGTCAACTAACTGTTCTTTACTTCTTTTCAAGCTTAAGCCACCTTTTTGTGCTGGACGGCGGTTACTTCACTTCGCGTGCAATGCCACAACGGCGTTACGCTTGCCACATCCACCCGACTACTTCTGTATGCAATTCGAACATTCACAAACAATTTCTCGTTTATTTTTGTATTTTTAATTTTTTTATTGTATTTTTTTTTGTATTTTTTTTGTAATTTTCAAATGTTATTCAAGTCCGCGTTGTTTAAAGCGCTTTAATGTACCCGTTTGACCAACAGTCAAATAATAAACACAAACACAAAAACAAAAGCCCGTTGAAAAGAATGTCTCCAATAAGAATTATGAACCGTAAAAAATCAAGTTAGCACACAAGCGTTATTACACAAACAAATATTACAAAAAGAGTAGTACCAAGCAAAAACAGAAAAACTAACGAAAGACTTAAGCGACGAACTCGACGAGCTGTAACTAGTAGCACCGCAGCGGTACAAATGTTCAGCCAGCAGATTTTGCAGCGTCTTTTAAAAATTTTTATCCAACCAAACCCATCTGCTGCTGCTGCTGCTGCTGCTGCTGCGTCGACCATCTGCAACAACTAGAGTGAGTGCAACTAAGAAAGCCGCCTCACTCCACCGCAGCACGACCAACATCACAACCACCAAAGGCCACAAATGGTAGCTGAGCGCTGTGCGAGTACGCGGCATAGGAGTACGAGAAAAGAAAATCATTTGTAAAAAGCGCACATCAGCCGCCTGAGTTGAACGTAGAAAAATATACGCGTAGAAAAGTTCAAAATGTGTTTTGTAGGAAAGCATTTTCCCAACCTCCCAGTGTATGGTCATGGCAATGAGTATTGCGCTGCGCTCTGCTGTTCAGTGCCGCTCAAGTCTGCGCTAGCTGTGTGACAGCCAATCTTTCACTGTTGCTTCTGCTATGGCGGTTTGAAGCAAACATCGAACTTATTCGTCAAACTTGTTATTCTCTTGCTCTTTACAATTTTCAGCATTTCTTTGTTGGCACACTTTATGGTTGGCTTTTCTTTTAGACACGGCACAGTGGCTGTGATTTCCATAGCAAGTTCCACAAGTTTTGTTTGGCTCTCGGTATTGCTTTCGCTCTCAGTGTTGCACACTCTCTCAGTTTTCGCTTGCTCATTTCTGGCTTGGCTTGCTCATGGTTTTGAAATTCTGCTTAAAACATTTGCACTTTCTTTCTCTCCGACCTTGTGTAGCTTCGTACGATCTGAGCGCAAGCGTTTTTAGCTCTTTTGCGCAGTAGCGCGCTCTCAAGTATTGGTGATGATTTTGCTGCTAGCATTGGTAGTTTGTTGTTAAATGAGCTTCTGCGATCAGCTGCTGATGTTGCTGCTCTATGCATATAAATTTCTGGTCAACATGTTGCCAGAAGGAGAAGTAAAGTTTTATATTTATAAAATGCAAAATAAAAATCGTTTTTGGCAGAAATCAAAAGAAAATTTTTTGGAATGAGCTTTTCATTAACCATCGATCAAAAAGCAACGAACTACATATTTTCTAGCTGACAGCTACAAAAAGTTCGATTATTGTTGCATGTTTGCCTAAGGGTCAATGCCACGAGTGGTGGCTACTATTCTAAATCCCTTCGTCCCTGATCCATTAGCAGAGCCGAGGTCTTAATTCTGCTGTACTCAGACCAGAGTTCCTTTGATATGTTGCACACAGCTCTTTCTAGTCAGCACAAAGAAAAGCAGATACCTTTTTCTTTAAATTTTGCTCAAGGGGGCATTCGAATTGTGCAGAGAAATAGGTTCTCTATCGGTCACTGGGTCTCTTCTCCTTCTGCAAGTCGTCTTTTCCAATTCCATGTCCATTACGAAAGGTCGTTATTTGATGTCCCGTTTCTCTGCCTCTGTTTGCCGATTTGATAGTTGTTTCTGTCAGCTGATGATCATTCGAGATAGGTTGGGGATAACGCCAGCGCTTCCACCGGACAGGTACCTAGGTGCACTTTTTCGTCTAGAAAGTCGTTTTGAGGCAAAAACAGCTAACTCCAGAATATCGTACCCAATTTCGGACGTTTCGGCTTCGTTAGCCACTGAATATGTTTCTCAGACAACTGAGGAGTGATTGATGCACATTAGAATGGTCCTTAAAAAATTAAATGAACAATTTTTTTTAGTCTCACCCCTTCAATAGGTAACAACACTGTCATAGATAACACACAGACTACCGTAGTCTGAAATTTTCCCTCTGTTCGACAGGTCTTAACCGTCTCCAATCGGGACCAAAATTTATATGCGATATCTTCGACTATAGTAGCATCGACGTAGGGGTTGAGGCTTGGGAGATCTGATGTAAGAATTTGCTTCCTTCATTTAAGGACCACCCTAATGCACATACATACATAGGTCTGCATTTTAGTGTCCTACATACTTTTACATTTATTTATTGTTTTATGTAGACTGCGGATTTTTATGCAAAATACGGAGCGTAGAAATATGTACCACATAACTATAAGCAAAGTCTATAAATTTGTATAAACAAAATGTACAGAAGTTTATACACTTTGCTTATAGTTATGTGTAACATATTTCTAGGCTTCGTATTTTGCATACAAATCCGCAGTCTAACTATTACCATTACCACCATCATTACTATTACTATTAACATAAACATAAACGTTACCATTATCATAACCATTGCCTTTCATATTGCTATAACCATTACCATATCCATTACACATACAATTGCCATTGCCAGTCCCATTACAATTACTATTACCATTACCATTAACATCATGCCAACATAACATCAACATGACCATTACCATTACCATAACCATTTCCATTACTATTGCTATTACCATTACCAATTCCATTACCTCTACAATTACCATTACCATTAACTTACACATTACCATTACTTTACCATAGCCAATGCATTACTGTTTCTATTACCATTACCATATCCATTACAACTACAATTACACTTACCATTACCTTTAACATCAACATGACCGTTATAATTACCATATCTATTACCTCTACAATTACCATTACCATTAATATAAACATTACTATTACCATAACCATTGCCATTTCTATATCTTACCATTACCATATGTATTGCCATAACCATTACCAATACAATTACCATTACCGCTTAAGAAAAATATTTCTTTTATCATACATATGTATGTAAGTATGTACATTAGAATGGTCCAAAAAAAAAAATTCTCCAAGATAGGGTTCGGCGTCCAAATTTTTCCTCTTGCCAAAAGAGGTGCTGGCACCAAACTTTACGTTTCTAAGTATAAATTTAGGGGATGCTGATGAAATTTTTATATTTTACTCTAGAAGTACTATATTGTAACCAATCATTAGTCAAGCTATATATATAAGATCATTTCAAATTTAAGTTTGCTGATAAAATATTTCAGGCTTCAGTTGTCATGGCAACAGTACCTTTCTTTTAAAAACATCAGTAAAGGGATACAGTAGCGCATTTCAATGTCATTGAGCACCCTGTATTGATTACCAAAAGGAAAAACCTAAGTGGGTGCCCCATTTTCAACGTTGAAAATTTTTCTCCCCATACAAAACTCGGACCACTCTAATGTACATACATAGTTAGTATAATAAAAAAAAACACAAGCTAAAAACGCTGAAAAAAATAAGTAAAGCTGAAAAATAAAATATGTGCAAATCAATTGGCCCACCTTGCGCCTTGTGACAACAGATAAATAGTTACGTTTCGCAATGAAACTCATAGGCTGGCAGCAGACGCGAGCAACTTTACGTGAACACTATTCTTAGCGCCACACCAATAGCTATATGTCACAAATTTAGCTGCAATATATGTATGAATGTGTGTATACGTTGTTGCCAAGGCAGCAAATTCTTAATTGAAAACTAAAGTACCATTCGTTGCGCTCACTGCTTGCAATTAAGTATCACCGCTTAGCCTACAGCGGCAAATATTCGAATGCCTATAAATACCCGTATGCGAGGCAATTCTACTACACACACATCCGCGTTCCCTCGTTCACATGTTCATACATGCCAACAATCTGCACACATTAGCCTTGTGTGACAAACGCTAACGCAAATCTTGGCTAGCGGATTCCTAACATTTCAGCGCCGTCCCATGACCATAATTCTTGACTCACTTACCTCTAAATTTTTGCGTGCTTTCAATGCAATTTTCTAGCCAACTATTACCATTACCATTTGCATTGCTGCTCTGCTTTTTGCCTCTCCCCAACTCCCACTCCACCGTAGGTATGACAACAATTTTCGTAGCAGCTACTCGCATTAATCTTGTTCCTGTCGCATTGCTCGACTTAGTCAGCTTCCTAACTTGTTTGCTGATTCGCGCCACTCTCCTTGTGGCAGCGGCAGCAGAAGTTGGCGGCGGCTGTCAGTAGCAGAAGGAGCAGCCGAAGTCGCACTGTTGCGTTCACCGCATGTTTATTAATGAAAATTGCTCAAGGCGAGCCAAATTACCACATGTATCTTTGTATGGCTATGGTAATAAATGACAAGCTCCACTGAGCGTTACATTGCTACGAATTTCAATTGGGCGTTTTGAATTTGTAATTTGTGTGCAATGATTTTGTTTTGATTCGCTGATAGTAGTGTTGGTAGTGTGGCGGCTCTTTGGTGGTTGATTTTGAAAGCTTCTATGCTCATGTCTGCTTGTGATGATATATTTAGATAATGTTTAAGCCATTTTATCACACACCAAATGCTGCTTTTTCATAAGTGATTTGTTGTCGTAGTAAATGCGTGTAGTCATAGAAAAAAGGAATAAGAAATTAGTATATTGACATAGGCTCTAGCTGTTAACTCCTCGGAAGCTTATGCCCGCGAAACCTTAAAACTACTAAGTAATATTGGAAAACTATATATTTAAACAAATTCAGCACTCATTTTGAGGACATTTGCGCACATTAAAACCTAAAGCTTCGATCTTTAACATCGCCAAAACATATTCCGAAAGTGCACTGAATAGTACCGAAAATGCGAACTTTACTAAATAGTAACTAGTAACTCGACTTCAGCACCACCTTTAGGTAAATAAGAGAGGATAGCATCCTTTAAATGCATATATATTCTGAAGTAAACAAGGCCTAAATGGACAAAGCAGGGGACCAATGATACCAATGATGATTCTCTGAATTAGTACTCGAAAAATAAGATCACCAACTGTGAATGAGTCTAGCGACTCCACCACCTACTATACCTGGTCCCTGTTAAAAACTGCTCACTCTGGGGAAGTCGACAGATTTTATTCACACGAAGAACATGGAGCAACGCAAGTACTTCAGATTCTTACTTCAAGATGTCATCTTGCCTCCTTAGGAGTCATATGCCATTAAAACGCTCCTCAGAAAGATTTTTTCAGCAATTAGGTGGCCTCAGAAGTGTCTATATCATCGACTCACATTGGTGCTTCCACGATTTCCCCTTGGAGCGTCTAATGGCACTGAAAGCAGTT